TGCCAGCAGCGCGGGCAGCGGGCCTGGGGGCTCGGCGCTCGTGGCGTTGGACGGGCGCGCCCCGGCCTGACCCGCGGTGGAGGCCAGGAGCACGAAGGTCCCGAGGAGCAGGAGGGCCGGCATGGGGCGTGCAGGAGGTCGGACCGGGCCGCCAGGCTGGGGGGAGAACCGAGAGTAGAGGCTGGAGGGAAGGAGATGGCCAGAAGTGAAGTGATGTGGAGCCGAGTGGCCGGAGCGGATGAGGAAGGCAGGCTGAGGGAAGGCAGAGGGATGGAGAAAGACAGGAAGGATGGAGAGAGAGCGACACGCGTGGGCCCAAGTCGACCGCCCTAGCTGGGTGCGGTGATGAGAGGGGCCGCAGGAAGGTAGAAATGATAAGGGGAGACAAAAAAAGGATCAAAGTGAGTGAGGAATGGGGGATAAAAGGTTGAGAGGATTGACGGAGACCTCCGAGGGGTGCGCAGAAATTAGAGAGATGGACAAAAAGCAGAGAAGAAAGGTGTGATGGAAGGTGAAGGGAGAAGGCAAAGGAGAGAGTAAGTGTGATAAGCCGGGGAGAGGTGGGAGGAGCCACCGTGGAGAGGAGGTTGGAATGAGGCAGTGGGGGATCAGGGAGACGAGGGACACAGATGTGGGGTGGGAGATGGGGAAGGAGAGGGAGGGAAGGAGAGAGGGAGAAAGAAGGAGATGTTGAGAACTTGAATTTATAGACCAGGCGGGCGCGAAGAGGGTTTTTCAACCTGGGCGCTACTGACACTTAAGTGTTTATTGTGAGAGCCCATCCTGTGCATGTAGGATGTTCAGCAGTATCCACTAGATGCCAGGAACATTCACATTCCCTCGCTGACAGCATAAGATGTCTCCAGACACTGACCGATGTCCCCCTTGTGGGGACGGAGGGGCACAATTGCCCCTGATTGAGAACCACCCATATGGTCATCAGTGCCCCCCAAATGCTTATTTATCTCCTTTATTTAGGTCTGATAATCAAGGGATCACAGTTCTCAGTCCCCTCCTCCCCCACCACACACACACACACACACACACACCCCACACACTCTTACAATGTCTGGTCTGAAGTGTCTCTGTCCACAGCTGGAGAGACATGGTATCAGGTTGCTTCATTTCCCAGCTTGACCAGCTGCCTGACACTGGACAGGCTCTTACCTAAGCCCCCGGTGCCACAGTTTCCCCATCTGTAGAATAGGGGTAAGGATAGTTATCACTGGATGGTTAGGAGGATGAACTAAGTGAATATGTGTAATGAGCTTAGGACAGTGCCTGGCACATTGCAGGTGATTACATATGTATACACTTACATATACATACATATATATGTATGAAAGTGTTTGCTGCTGCTTACTTCAGAAGAGAGATACAGGATGAGAGGGGGCGATGGAGAAGACATGTGGGAATCAGGGGTCAGATGGGGCAGGGCATCCAGCTGTTTCTATGGCAATAGTCCAGCCAGGTCCCAGACATGCCTGCCCCCAGGGGACACTGAGCAATGGTGGGGGTGGGGAGGGTGACTGGCCTGTTCAGGGAGAGCGGAATGTCTAAGTTCCACCCCCAGGTGGTACAACTGAGTGGTTAAGAGCGTGGGCTTGGGACAGAGGCAGGCTCTGGGTGGCTGGCCCCTCTCAGCCTCACTTTCCCCCTCTGCAAGATGATGATCTTAAAAGTCCCATCCTAGGGCTGGATAGTTAGCTTAGTTGGTTAGAGCACCAGCGTTATAACACCAAGGTCAAGGGCTTGGATCCTCATACAGGCCAGCAGCCAAAAAAAAAAAAAAAAGCCCTGCCCTGAGAGCGCTGCCAAGAAGCTTCCACTGAGCTTAGCTCAGCAGCCAGCAGTGTGTGGGACATGGATTTGTTCTGCAAGTGTTCATTTGATAAATGTCTACTGAGCATCTTCAATGGGCCATAAACTGTTGTGAGCACTGAGGATACAGTGGTGAACAAATCTATAGGGTTCCTGCCTTTATGGGGCTTATGTTCTAGTGAGGGAGGAGAGTCAGTAGACAGATACAAATGTGGTACATATTGAAGACTATTGTGAAGACATTACAAAGAAAGCCATGAAGAAATGAAAGCAGCATAAGGGTGGTGGATGGGATTAATTTAATAAATGTCAATAGGTATTATTTTTATTTGTCCTTTTCCATTGTGTGTGTGTGTGTGTGTGTGTGTGTGTGTGTGTCTAGGGACCATGCCACTGTCAACAATTTTGCTAGTTGTTGGGATGGGGAGGTTATGGGAGGCTGAGGCTCTCCAAGCCTCAGTTAGCTCCACCCCCTCCCACTTGGAGCCTCAGCTTCCCTTTTTAGCTCCAGCTTGAACCCCCCCTGACCACCCTGGCTACACTCAGGGCTCGAATACTGAATGCCTCCACTTGGGTGTTTAATGGGCATCTTAGAAGTGGCTTGGGGCCAAGCCGTGGCGCACGCGGGAGAGTGCGGCGCTGGGAGCGCAGTGGCGCTCCCGCGGCGGGTTCGGATCCTATATAGGGATGACCGGTGCGCTCACAGCGCTCACTGGCTGAGCGCGGTGCGGCCGGTCTCAAAAAGGATAAGAAA